AACCTCACGTATCCTTCTTCTCCCCTTTTTACCTCCCCCTCCACCTCCACCTCCGGCCCCTCCACACACACACACACACGTACACACACATACACACACATACACACACATACATAAACACATACATAAACACATACATAAACACATACATAAACACATACACACACGTACACACATACATACACACACATACATGCACACACATACATACACACACATACATACACACATACACACAGATGGACGCTCTCGCCGCCAAGGCCGCGAGGAGGCTGGAGTTGTACCACGGCGACAGACCTGCCGTACAGCGAATGATGTCCCTCATGGCGCCACCAAGTCCCACGGGTCAGTCGGTTGTTGGGTCTGTTAGTTAGTCCCGCGGGCCGTTGCTTGGGCCGTTGTTTGTTTGCAGTATCCCAGGGCTTAGAATGGGTAACCACCACAGGGTGTACGGCAGGATGAGGTCATTGTCGGCTTTGTGTTGTGACGGCTCAATGCTGGAGGCTTGGGCAGTGGAGGGCCCACATTGGGTTCGCTAAGGGTCGGATAGGATGACATACATACATACATACATACATACATACATACATACATACATACATACATACATACATACATACATACATACATACATACATACATACATACATACATACATACATACATACATACATACATACATACGGGCTTATAGCGTGCGTGTATATTGAAGCCGCTGGGAGAGGGGACGGGGAGAGGGGCCAAGTCTCCGAATGGGTTTTTAGGATTGGGGGTTGGGAGAGGAGAGAGGGACCGGAATGGGCTGCTACCGCTACTACACCCACGAATTCCGCTTAACCGCCTAATACACAGCAGGCACGGCCTCAGCGGGCTTGCCCGTCCGAGCCAACAGCAGCAGCCCCGCCATCCGCCAGCCCACCAACGTCGGAGCGGGGAGTACAATCAGCGGCACAGGAGCGGCGGCGGCGGCGGCGGCAGCCGCCGCCGCTGCCGCCGGCGTCGTCATCAGGCCCGTCAGTCCTACCCGGATACCTTCTCGCCTCGGCAGCCAGCGGCCACCAACGCTGGCCGTTGACGGCACCGCCGCCGCCGCCAGCGCGGAGTCCGGGCGAAGTCCGGGTGCCAGCCCGGGTGGGATGGTAACGGTGGCGGCGGCTCCGCCGCCGTCGCCGCTTGCCGGCGCGCTACGTGTACGACCACGCAGCAGTCCGCATACCGGTGGTTCCGGAGCTGGTCCCTCCAGCGTCACCATCAGCATTCCCGGTGAGGCGGGCGCTGGCGGCGGCGGTGGCAGTAGCAGCGGCAGCGGTAGGGGCAGCGGCAGCGGCGCTGCTGGTGGCGGCGGCGACGACGGCGACATGACGCCGCTGCGGCGCAGCGGCGCGCTGACCGCCGCCAGCTATATCTGGCAGCGCATGCGCGACACTGGCGGCCGCGCGCCCCCGCAGATACGGCAGTGTCTGACGTACGACGAGATTGCGCACATCAAGGCGGAGGCCAAACGAGCCCTCATGGGTGGCGGCAGTACGACAATACCCGCTGGCGGCACCGGCACTGGTACGGGCACCGGCACAGGCTGTGGGACGCGGCCTCCGGGCCCCAACCTTCCGGGTCCCCCCGGTGAGGGCGGAGGGGGTAGAGGGCTCATGTCGATGAACTTGGGCTCCAGTAAAGCGATGACGAGTCCCTTGGGGCTGTGAAGTGTGATGTGTGATTATATACATGAAGTGTGATGTGGCACGCAAGGGGCTTTGTGTGTGTGTGTGTGTGTGTGTGTATGTGTGTGTGTGTGTGTGATTATTACAGTGGGCTCCAGGCTCGTAAAGAGTAGATAGATTCAGCGGGCCAGCAGGCCGTTCATTATTACTGCACCTGAGACACTCAGGAGAAAGATCAGGGGCTGGCGTTGGGAATTGGGTAAAAAAATTGGGAGTTAGGCTGGCCGTTGGGTGCGGGGCAGTTGGTCCGTTGGGACGAGAGGGAAATGCGCGCTGATGGGTGCTTGGGAGCCAGCCTGAGCCAGGTGGTCAGGTGGCACAACTGTGAAGTAGCCGTGTTAAGAAGTTTTTTTTACGACTTGTCGACGGGGTGGAGGAGGATTACACGAGCGAGCTTTAAACCAAATTCGCGCGTTTGGTTCATAGATTCGCATGCCCGGACAAGGAGATGGGAGTGATGACCTTATCATTCACCAGGGATTTGCAAATGCGCATATTTTCTAAATGTACTGTTCTTTGGAACCATTTTGCAAATTCATTTTAAGTGTCCGGCATCCGGCAACACTTCACGCAGCTCACCGAATTAAATAATCAAACATATTATTAAGCTTATACATTTGAAGTCACATTGTCGCAATTTAAAATCGTGACGACCCCCCGCTGATTTAACGTTGTCTCCTTCACGCTCCCAAAGCTGTTTCTGGCTTTCGCCTGTGATATATGACTTCCTCGAACTTGTGGCAAGGCGCCCCGAAACATTTACATGCAGTCAGTCACACATGTACAGCAATATCTCTTACATTTGCGACTCCAGTTCATTCAAAATAAACGAGAAGAGCACGCAGGCAAAATTAGATGTCCTGGATGGGTCCTACGGAGAATGAAGTGCCGCTGCTGCTTCTCCTACAGTAGCTGCGGCCGCAGTACTCGTTTCCCTACTCGCAAAATGCTCCTCCAACGCTGTCACGAGGCCGTCAAAGGTGGAGAAGTTCCGGGAAACGGCCCCCACTTGGAGGCCACCAGTCACGGCGCGTACTCCTTCTGCGGTGTACGGCCCATGTGCCGCCAGCAATACCCCGTGCCGTACAACGGCCTCAGCGAAGGCATCGGCGCCGCCCATCAGTTGCAACAAGCCTTGAGCCTACAGACACACATACGCATTACATACAGGCGCACATCCATATATACACGGCACCGCTGGAAAGGCGCGACCATTGCCCCCGGGAGATCCCGGGATCGATACCCGTTAGGGTCAAAAGTCCTTCCGATGGTGGAAGGTGTTGCACCCCTGGTTGATGGACGGTGGTGACCTGGGATAAAGTTAACCTGCGAGCCGACTAGGAACGGAGTTGGACCGCTGTCGACCCGGCAGATTCCGTTGGATGCTGGTGGTGGGTGCGGAACCTGAGCGAGCCACTGCGAAGTTGACTAGGGTGACTAGATGAATGTGCTCCGAAATACCGGGGAAGGCAGGGTTTCGCAGGGTAGCTGCCACGGGCGAAGATACACCCCCCTGTTTCACACATCATATACAGGCCTTTTCAGCGGCCAGCAGAGCAGCTATAAGGGAAAGGAGGGATTCGGCCATAGGATTACTCCATGAAGCCTCGCCCAGCCGCTCTAAGTACTTGATGCAGTGGCCGCAACAGCGGTGTACGGCACTACCTGTTCTCGCGCGTCATCCGCTTTCCCATCAGGATGAAAGTGGTGCTCCGAAACAACATAACCTCGGGGGAAGGTGATATGGGGGGGACTGCCAGCCGGGCAGCGGCCACACACACACACAGACAGACAGACACACGAGTGAGACCGTACTTACTACCCGCTTGCTTCACTGGATAGTACGCATGTAAAAACACACACAGATACATACACACACTGACACACACCGACACACTTGCCTCCGCAGTGGAGCTGAAAGCCACGGCCGCCACCCCGCCCTCCCCGAGCGCCCTACGCTCCAGGGAGACGTCCCCCGGGGAGCAACCCAGGGTGGTCAGGTAGGCGGGAAGCCGTACAGCCGTACAGCCTGCGTCCTAATGAGCGAATTTAAAGGAGGAGAAGAAAGGAAGGAAGGAGGACGACAAACGATGGCGTTGTGAAATTATTGTGTTGTAGGTGCATATATATGTGTGTGTATGTATGTATGCATGTGCGGGAGTGAACGAAGGGAAGTGGAGTAGTTGAGAAGAGAAAGGAGGGGAAGGCTGGAAGTTGGAATGGCGTGAACGTCGCGTCCTTGGTATGCCGTACATGCCGTACAGCAGGTGGCGTTCGTTCGTAACAAGATAGGAACTCCCGTCTGTGTGGACAGACATACAGGCAGACGGACAGACAGACATACTTGTCATAACGCTTCACAGCAGCGGCCCAACCCCACCCCCACCTCCACCTCCACCACATAAACCATAAGGCTCTTAAGGCACAAACGAATGTACGAACATCCTCATATCATTCATTGGCCCTCTCTCTCCTTTTCCCCCAACCTTAACCCCCCTCTCCCTCCAAACCCTAACCCTTCCTTTGCACCGGAGCGCCCTTCCCCCCGTGTGAAATACCTTCCCTCCAGGACCCCCCGTCCCTCCTCTTCCCCCTCCAAGCTCCACACCACACACAGACACATACACACACGCATACATACACACACACACCTCCAGAGCCCTAAGGAATCTAGGCACCACGGGAGGCTCCACCAAGCCACCTGGGGTTGTAAGGGCGGAGTTGGCGGGAGGGGAGTTGGGGGGTTTATGGGGGGGGGAGAATGGGGGGAAAAGCCGTATACACAGAGCCCCTGAGATGCGCATCAAATAATGAAAAGAAGGTTTTATGATGGCTATTAGGAGGGGGGGGAGATGTTGGGTGGGTGGCGGGAAACGTTAGGGGGATGTTTGGAGGGGTCAAATCTTTGACCGAGGGATCAAGAAGATTAGGGGGTCTAGGGGTTACAAACGGAAGGTGGCTGAGGTTCGGGAGGAGAGGGAGAGGGGAGGAGGGGGGAGGGGGGAGGGGGGGGGGCCGAAAGCCTCAAGGGAGGATCCTCAGTCTGTCGTCTGACGAGGACAGTTAAGTGAACCCCCGAACCCGAACCCACAGACCTCCCCCACTTCCCTCACCCCAATCCCCCGACCTCATGAACCCACAGGAGCAGCAGCAGTAGACGCGCCCCCCGGCCACCCCGCTAACCCACTGACCCACCACTGACCCACCACTGACCCACCCGTCACCAGCGGTACGGGACACATTACTCGGGCGCCCTGGGCCTCCCCTCGAGCTACCAGCTCGCGAACTAAGCCCAGTGTTGAAGCCTGGAGGAGAGGGGGGAGGGGACGGGGATAGAAGCGGGTGGTAAAGGGAAAGGTTAATATAATGAATACACGCACACACACACACGTGCACACACACACACACACACGTGCACACACACACACACACACGTACACACACGTACACACACGTGCACACACACACACGTACACACACACGTGCACACGTGCACACGTACACACGTACACACACACGTACACACACGTACACACACGTACACACACGTACACACACACGTACACACACAACACGCACACACACGCACACGTACAAACACACACGTACACACACACACACACACGTACACACATACACACACACAACCCACCGCCTACCTCCCCCTTACCTCGGGCGGCGATACGTGCACCGTCAGCCCCCTCTCCTTCAGCACCTCCCCGTCTGCACCCAGAGCACACATTCGGAGGCCGCTGCTGCGCAGCCACTCGCAGGCGGGGCCCTCACCTGGCAGCTCAGGGATATCACCAACACGAGAAAAAGTATGGAGGAAATGATCATTACAATGATGATGATGATGATGATGATGATGATGATGATGATGATGATGATGATGATGATGATGATGATGATGATGATGATGATGATGATGATGATGATGATGATGATGATGATGATGAGGATGATGAGGATGATGATGATGATGAGGATGATGATGATGAGGATGAGGAGGATGAGGATGATGAGGATGAGGATGATGAGGATGAGGAGGATGAGGATGAGGATGATGAGGATGATGAGGATGATGAGGATGATGAGGATGATGAGGATGAGGATGATGAGGATGATGATGAT